ATCTAGAATCCCATGAGATTTTTTCTGACCTAGAATTTCAGATCTAGAGTCCCATAAGATTTCCTGGTCTAGAATTCCAGATCTAGAATCCCATGGCTTTTCTGGGAATACATCAACACACATCTGCCTTACCTTAGTCCTCGGGCAGCAGAAACTCTCCTAGGAGCTCCTAGGGTTATTAACCCAGGCCTAGATTGCCATTCTTGGCTTGGACTCTGAAAAAGGAGCATTTCAAATTATGAATGCCCATAGTTTTTTATTTCCTAGGAGGGAGAATCAGTCTGAGTTATAATATCCTCACTGAGAGAATGTAAACATTTGAGGTAGGCATTTGGAGGAGAGTAAAATTCATTTAAGATTCTACATGATTTTTAAGTTCTGGGGAAAAATTAACCCTGTACACATATATGTAGGGTTTTCCCAAGGTTTGAACAATGATTTCCACCATTACCAAGTTTTAAGTAGCTTGTCTGCCTGTGATTCCAAATACAGTTCCAATTGAGCATCTCCAAGTTGCCATATTTAAGAACTCATAGAGGAACTGAGTACACACAACTGAACTGATAAGAACAGAAGTAAAATAGGGTCTAATTCCTCCCAGATCTGATAGCTGATGGAGAGCTAGATTAACAAGAGGAAACACTTTACTCTGAACATCAGTAGAAGTTACAGTTTTGAGGGAGAAATTATGCCATAGTCAGGGAAGCATGCCTGGTAATTGATCCTGACAGTAGTTTGAGTTTAAATACATTTTGACCTTAGCCCCTTTTGGAAGAAGATGAGGAAGATACCAGAAAACATGACTACTGGGTTATTTATACATGATAAGTAAACAAAGACTAGTTTCTGTCCTTGCATCATGGTAAATGGGAAATACCTACTCTGGTATGTTTTCTCAACAAAGCTGTGGCAATATTTTGTCCTATTATTTTGACATAGTCTGTTTCTTTTATACCTTTTCATTTTGTAGTTTTTAAAAATTTTTTAAAGGATTTCATTTATTTATTTGAGAGAGAGAGAGAGAGCTCAAGTGCACGAGTCAGGGGGGAGGGGCAAAGGGAGAGGGAGAAGCAGACTCCCCACTGTGTGGGTTGCCCAACGCGGGGCTCGTTCCCAGGACCCCAGGATCATGACCTGAGCTGAAGGCAGACACTTAACCAACTAAGCCACCCAGGTGCCCCTCACTTTGTGTTTTTTAAAAAGTGAAAATAAGTCATTACCACATGAAACAATCAGTATAGTATAAAGTTAGGAGCTATGTGTATAGTGAGGACTCTCAGCCTGCTTGCTAACTGTGTGACTTTGGATAAGTTACTTTATCACTCTGTGCCTCAATTTCCTCATCTGTGAGATGGGGATTCACAAAACAGTCCTACCTCATAGGGTTGTGGTGAAAATTAAATGAATTAATACATGTAGAGTGTTCAGAACAGAGCCTGGCAGATAATAAAGGCTCAATACATGCTGGCTATTACTAAAACAGGAATGGCACATAGGCATTTTTATCAAATTAGTTCAAATTAATAGACAATGTATTTCCTTCCAATTAATAGCACTTTAAAAATACCAGAAAACAGTTTTGCCAGCAAACAGGATGTGGAATGCAGGATGATGACCAGTTCCCAGTGATCCACAGTCTCATCTTTACACGACTCACTTAATCTTCCTTGTCTCTAATTTCCCTCCTTTACAATGCATGTAATTCAGCCTTTGTAGTTCTTATGTCAAAAGGAAGCATGCAAGAGAAAACACACATGTATTAAAATAAAACTAACAGAAACAATTACCTGTAAAGTGCTTTTAGCCACTAAGAAAATATGCCCCTTAAATCCTGTATTTTCTCTTGAGACCATTTCCTTTTCCTCCTCTGCCTTCTATATGCCCTGCATGCCCTCCATCAGCTCCTCTCTGCTGCCTTAGGAAGCCCTTTTTGCTAAAGGCCTGAGACCTCCAGGATCAGGGGTGAACCTAGGAGGGCTGTCTTTCCCTATCTGGGCCCTAGATGTCCTGCACCTAAATCCTTGGACTCTTTATTTGAGCAAAGTGAAAAGAATTCACTGAGGTTGAAAAGAAAAAAAAGGTTTTTAAAACCTAGTAACATCTATTAATAGTTCAACCTTTCAAAAATGTCTTATTTTTGTTTTGTTTTGTTTTTATTTAGTGAATTTTTCATTGTCAATGCTAAATCCAGGCAGAATTCTGGAAGAAGAAATGACTAGGTAATTGGCTAATGCATACATATATATATGTAGGTATTATATATATAAATATGTACATTTATATATAAATATTTATGATATACTTTTAAAAGTGTTTTATTTGAGGATAATTGCAAACTTTCAGAGAATTTTAAGAATATACAGAGTCTCTGTATACTCTTTACTTTTTATTATATTCTTTGACCTATTGTTATCATTTTTTTTAAGATTTATTTATTTATTTTAGAGGGAGACAGAGAGAGAGAGAACATGAGCCAGGTAGGGGCAGAGGGGAGAGAGAATCTCAAGCAGACTCCCTGCTGAGAGTGGAGCCTGACGTCGGGCCCCATTCCAGGACCCTGAGCTCATGACCTGAGCTGAAATCAAGAGTCAACAACTTAACTGACCGAGCCACCCAGGCACCCCTGAATTATTATTATCATTTATACCCACCCCCCGACCTCCACCATCTGAAGTAACTTGCATACATCATCATGGCTCCTTACTCATAAATACTTCAGTGTGGTTCCTAAGCATAGGATACTCTCTTCATAACCATAGCACGATTATCAACTCCAGTAAATCTAATATTGATAGAGTACTTTGATCTAATCCACCATCTGTATTCCAAGTTTGTCGGTTGATCCAATAATGTCTTTTATGGCGTTTTCCCTTCCTTCAGCCTTAATAGAAATCTCAAAAGTCTGTGACATAATGTTTGTATGTTTACTTATCAATTAATGTTGCTGATTTAAATGAGCTCCATCTGTATGTTACTGCAGGCCTGAAAGGCTTCTATCTGGAAACAGTTTGTAAAATTATATAAAAAGTATCTTTGAAAGTATCAAAACTGAATATTTTTTTTTTTTTTAATTCTATTTATTTGAGCACGAGCAGGGCAGAGGGCAGAGGGAGAGGGAGAAGCAGACTCCCTGCTGAACAGGGAGCCCGATGCGGGGCTCGATCCCAGGACCCTGTGATCATGACCTGAGCCGAAGGCAGACGCTTAACTGACTGAGCCACCCAGGCACCCCAAATTTGTTCTTTTTAAAGATACTAACTTTCCTCTAATTTAGTTAAGACTTCCCTCAAAGTTAGTTTGAATTTATGATGTTTTTAGCATACTATTAAAAAATATTTCTGAATTCTGCCAAAGAGCAAGAGGGTTTTTGTTTTTGTGTTTTTTGGCGGGGGTTGGGGGGTCTTGCTGTGAACAATATGAGAAAACTTAACACTAAGTACCATTTCACATGGTCGATCTGTTTATTCCATATGTGAATAGTAGTGACGTTTTTCAATACAATAAGATATGCAAGTCTAGAATCTTAATTATGAAAGAAGAATCACACCATATCTACAAATTGTCAGTATCAGTTTTAAGATGATTCATTAACACCATTATTTTTTGCACTTAACCACAAAATGTATCTGTTTTCTGGTAATTCAAGTGAATAGATTTGCCATCATCCTCTTCTAGTTTAAGAAAGAGAAGAGAAAAAATGTTAATGTGTCTTTGTTACAATGTCCTACACAATCTATATGATTTCAGTAAACTTAACTCCCAATTTTGAAGATTTTTCCTGAAAGAGATGAATAAAGAAGAGTATTTAAAAGAAACTTTATAATTATTTTCCAGGTATGCATACTATTACTCAGGGTTAGGTGCTGGAGTTCTTGTTGCTGCCTATATACAAGTTTCATTTTGGACTTTGGCAGCCGGCCGACAAATCAGGAAAATCAGGCAAGAGTTTTTTCACGCTATTCTACGACAAGAAATAGGCTGGTTTGATGTCAGCGACACCACGGAACTCAATACACGGTTAACCGAGTAAGTGTATTGTTTATGTCACACTTTCATAACAAAATGAACCACTAACTATGTGAAAATGTGTCATGGTTAGACTTTAAATTAAAAAAATTACTAGATGAAACGTTTGAGACGAATGGGGACTAGATCATCCGACAGCCATTTCTAGCATTTACGTTCTGTGCTCCCATGCATTTTCCTTATCTGTTAGTTTGTTCTTCTCAGTGATTTAATAGGTTAATTTGAAGACTGAGCTCACATCTTACATTTATTTATCTCTCCGTGGAGCTTGCTACAGGGCCTGACAGATGTTATCCGTTCAATTAAGATAGTTGAATGAATGAGTATATGTGTGCGTGAAGTCACAGCAAGACTTGTCTTCGTAATTGTTGGCTCTTCACTTATTCGACAGATATTTGAGGTCCTATTATATGCCACGTACTCTTCTAGATATTTATGATATACCAGTGAACAAGACAAAGATCTCTGTCCTCTTGTTGCTTACTTTCCAGCAGGGGGAGATAGATGACAAACTTTGTCTTACTGGAGTTCCCAGCAAAAGAGTCCTAAATAAATGAAGTTAAAAAATCAGGGCAGGTCAAGGCATTTAGGACCTGGCTGGCCTCACTAAGGACTTCAGCTTTGACTCATAGTGAAATGGGCAGCCACTGGGAGTTTTGATCTGAGGAGTAACACGTTCAGACTTCCATTTTCAAAGGATCACACTGGTTGCTATTTTGAGAAGAAAGTGGGTTGAGAGTAGGGCCGAGGGTAGAAGCAAGTAGCCCTTCCCTATTACTGTTGCAATGCCCTTCCTAACTCCTGCTTTTAAACAATTGGACTCAGATGTTCAGAATGCTAATGCTTCTCGATTAGGATTAACTAATTTAATAGCATCAACTTTAATGATATGAACTTCTTAGAGGCATGAACTGAACCTGAATTTCTTCCTTTGTACAATATTTAGGTGGGGAAAAATCCCATTCAAGAGGCTAACTGTGAACGAGGCTTGCAGTAGTGTAAACGAGATTTACCTGTCTATGTGTTTGTCCAATGTCTGCTTCGGCCCTCTGATTGAAGACCTCCTGCCCGTAACCACTTAGGTGTGATCTTTTTTAGTGACATCTCCAAAATCAGTGAAGGAATTGGTGACAAGGTTGGAATGTTCTTTCAAGCAGTAGCCACGTTTTTTGCAGGATTCATAGTAGGGTTTGTTAGAGGATGGAAGCTCACCCTTGTGATAATGGCCATCAGCCCTATCCTGGGACTCTCCGCAGCTGTCTGGGCAAAGGTGTGTGAATCGGGGGCATTTTCCTGTGGGTTAGCCCACACGTGCAAGAGTTATTTTTAACATGCAGGGTTCTGGTTCTTGTCGCTGTCCAGATCTGTGTGACATGTCAGTTGAAACCACATTTAAAAGCATGTTGTTAATGCTGTAATAAAGAAATCCATTTTTAATATGATTTAAAATGTCAGTTTTTACCTCACAGATTTTTTGCACTGCTATTATTTGTTTGGGTAAATCTGCTGGCATAGTAGTTTAAACCACTTAAATGGTTATGTCCCTATTTAAGGAAACAGTTTTAAAACATAACATTCTTCCAAACCATTGCATGAATATAAGAAAAAATAAAGTTTGGATTTGTTTTATTCATTTTTAATTGTTACATGTGACAATTAAGTGGCACTCTGCCAATTTGGCCTTGCCCTAAAATAAATAAATAAATAAATAAATAAATAAATAAATAAATAAATATGTATATAACCTGTTCTACTTCAGACAACACTGCAGAGTTGAGAAGTTTTACTGACAATTTTGCTCTTCTGGAGGTTGATGATTTGCTTAGTGAATTACTCATATCTCTTTTATTTTGATTATTCCTTTACCTGTCTCCTGCAACATCTTGTTTAGCTGTCTTATTATTAAGCAGAATGCCCATGAGCAGATCTGGAAGTATTGTTTTCATAGTAATTAAAATCGTGATACAATAAAGGAAAGAATAGTGACTTTCCAAAGGAGTAAGGTTTTAGTTTAGTTTATTTTGCAATTAGCAGAGAAGAAAACATGGTAGGTGTGGAACTTGACATTAATCCTCAAGATGCTATGTAGAGAATTATATGTGGATTTTCTGTTCCTGACTACTCTTGGGAGCATACCACCAGGGTAGATCAGATCTAGCCTTTGTAGAGGGTGAAAGGATCCACTGGATCTGGTACACGGGCTGTTGTTTACTTCATGATGTCAGTGGCTGGGAAGGGATAGGGTTTGGGAAGAAAAAGCAAGTTGAAGAGTTGACCAGACTGCCTTTTAAATTTTCTCCCCATACGAAAGTCACGGATGTGTCTCCTCTGTCCAGATACTCTCAGCATTTAGTGACAAAGAACTAGCTGCATATGCCAAAGCGGGCGCAGTGGCCGAAGAGGCTCTGGGGGCCATCAGGACGGTGATAGCGTTTGGAGGCCAGAACAAAGAGCTGGAGAGGTCAGGAATGTTCTTTGTCCACTAGTTCAAAGAACCCTCTTTTGCATTTTGTTGCTCACTCTTTTGTGGTGTGTGTTGTGTTTACTACTTTCTTTTTCTTAATATTAACCCCTCCCCCACAAAATATAGGGACACTTTGCTGATGTCTGGAGTTGAATGTCAACCCCTAAAGCAGGGTTCTTACCCTTTTTAAGTTCCACGGACTCCTTCGGCAGTCTGATGAAGCCTACGGACTCCCTCCTTAGAATAGTAATTTTAAATGCCTAAGACAAAATACAGAGGATTACGAAGGAAACCAATTATAGTGAAGTACAGTTTTCAAAATATTTTTAAATTGTGATACAGTAAATACCTGCCTTTGTTGTTAGCGTATTAAATAATAAGAGCAAACTATGGGTTCAGTAACTATTATAACTCTGAGGTAGAAATGCAGGTAAAAGATACTTCAAGATATTTGTTTCAAGTGTAACATGATATAAAAATGATCCGTGATATAAAAATGATCCGTGATCTCTACTGGCAACAAAGCCATAGTTCCTGCTAATTCTGCGGTGGTTTATTGCCTATGCTGATAATCCAAGGAAATGCTACATTTCAGATACAGGTTAGTGAAAATAATTATATAATTGTTTCCACATTCGAATTCCTTGACCATGGATCCCAGGCCACATAGCCCTGCTCTACAGGAACCTGATAGGTAAAAACCAAAATGCCAGAACAAAGCCCACGGATAAAGGCTAGTCTGTTTTTCTTTAATGTCCCCAACAAGTGTTCTCTAAATAACATGCCCTAATACAAAGTATGATTCTGCATCAAGTCTTGCCGTTCCGTGGGACTTCTGGTACCCAAAACTTTTTGCAAGAGAAATTCTCTGGAAATTCTCCCGCCTTTGAAGCCAAGTTGCCCCCTAGTCCCTCCATTTTCGTTCCCTATTTTTCCATTCTGTGGGCCCTCTTCAAAAGCGCCATGTTCCTGGTTCTCTGATCTCTTCCTGTTTCTCACTGCTGCTTCCTGTATCCAGTAGCCCACACACAGCAGCCTAACCCTCCCTGGGACCTCTGGATGGGCGTGTAATCAGTACCGCTCCGTTAGCTGCAGTAAGCAAGCCGCCTCAGCGCAGGTCATTACAGCGTGTCCTCCACTGTCCCCGGAGCCTGGTGTCACATGGGGGCTGACCTGAATCGCCCTGGGCCTTGGGGCCCAGCCACACAAGACCAATCACAGGGCTGGAGGCTCCCCAGGGATGCAGCTCTGCAGAAGGAAAGCAAGGAGAGCTCACTGAAAAGTAGGCTGCTTCAAGTAATTAGACACACAAACTTTTTGGTGGCAACTGCATTTTTTTAAAAAACTAATGAATCCTCAACATCTCATTTGGTTAAACTAAAAAAAAAAAAAAGAATCTGTTTTTATTAGAAACACTATTTTATATGATATTACCCCCCACAGTCTCATTTTATATGTCTTGTGTTTTTTTCCTAATTTTAGGAAGCCAAAATTAAATACACACTTTCTGTACCTAGCGTGGAAAAGTAGATTTAATTTAAACTGATGTAAACAGAAATTGTAATTTAACAGACCCATTATAGACATTTGTACCTTTGTATCGACTCCTAGAAGCCAGTAATAGGAATTTTAATTGTTACTCAAAAATGTGATAGAATGAGCACTCTTCAGGAGGAGGTTAAATTCTAAAACAACAATAGGAATAATGAGAGGAATAGAAATCACCAGGTTTTGCCAGGTGTTTGCCAGCCCTGTGGTAACCACTCTCTGTAATTATCTTTTAGTATCAGAATTATCTTGCAAGGTAGGCATTATTAACTCCATTTTACAGATAATGTAACTAAAGTCTAGAAAAATTGTATGTAGTGACCACTTTAGAACCTTGTGCCCTGGCTTGACAGTGGAAGATCAGCCTGACCAAAAAGCACAAAACAAAGCAAAACAAAAAAAAGCAAAGGCCCAAGTTTAAGTACAAGAATGTGTAAAATTCCAGTTCCTCACCCAAAGGGGCAATAGAGGAAGGTTTTTCTTTTCTCTAGAGAAGAGAAATTGAGCTGTGTAAAGAATCAATTGTAAGCATCCCGCAGCGTATTTACGTTTTAGTGCCATTCTCCTTTGACTTGGTTTCTCTTCTCCCTCCCAAACTTTGGCTCGTGATGCTGGCCGGGAAGGTGATGGCGAAGCTCTTCCGTATCCCAGGAGACGTTCAATCCTAGAACAGCTACAGGAACCCTGGTTAGACTGGAAGGGACCAAGGGAGACGAGTCCAGGCCAGTAAAGAGAAGGCTCAGATGGGTTCTAGTCCTGGCTGATCCTGAATTGGCTCAATTCCCAGGAAGTTGGGTTTCAGCAGGGTTTCTTACTGTGTTGGCATTGTTCCTTAAACCTCCAACTATACGGGAGTTGAACCTGGCTCTGATTATGGATTGTTTTCTTGTTACGTTTTCCCCTCATTTTCTGGTAGGTATGAGAAACATCTAGAAAATGCCAAAAAGATTGGAATTAAAAAAGCTATTTCAGCAAACATTTCCATGGGCATCGCCTTCCTGTTAATATATGCGTCATATGCCCTGGCCTTCTGGTATGGATCCACTTTGATTCTAGCAAAAGAATATACTATTGGAAATGCAATGACCGTAAGTAGTTTTCCTAATATTTACGAAGAAACCAAAAATATTGTTTATCCATCTACCTTGTGTTTTCTTTCATACTCCTCATTTTCGAAGAATGAGCCTGATTATAGGCTTTTCTCTTTTGGTGAACCTTTGCTCTGTCCTGTGGGAAGAGCTCGCCTTCTAGAATACACAAGGCACAATTATGAGCTGGGGGCAAAAAAGTAGCATGTAGTTAGACCACTTGAGAAGCTATACATCATATAAAAGGAAGTAAAAATTGAATGAATTTATGAATGAACAAATATGGATTGGAGGCATCCTCTTTCTGCCATTGAGTTTTCGTTATATAAAAAAGTAAACATTATTATAGACAGGTCATAGTATGCAGGATGCTAAGTTACATAATATAAAACATCAGCTACCCAAAATATAAGATGGAAAATTATTCTGTTTTTCAGAATGAACATAGGTTTATTTTATGATTCTGAAAATAATATCTACTGGTTACACAAAGGATTAGAGTACAGAATTTTTAAAATTACAAATTACTTAGAATCTAATAATCCATATATACTTAATGATAAGTTTTGGTATAGATCTCCCAGATCATTATATATATGTTTTTTTCTTTCAAAACTGGGATTGTATTATGTGTATCTTTTTATAACCACTTTTTAAAAAGATTTACTTATTTATATTAGAGAAAGAGAAAGAGCGCACAAGCATGGGGAGGGGCAAGGGGAAGGAAAGGGAGAGGGAGAGAATCCTCAAGCACACTCCCTGCTAAGTGCAGAGCCTGCCATGGGGCTTGATCCCAGGACCCCAAGATCGTGAACTGAGCTGAAATCAAAAGTCTGCTGCTTAACTGACTGAGCTACCAGTCACCCCTATAACCTTTTTTATAAACCAGCAATATTTTGTGACCACCTTTATGTGTCAGTGATGATCAAAACAACATGTAACCATTCAAAGAGCAATCTTTTAAAACTTACACTTCTCTATGTTTCTAAAGAGAGGATACTGATGACCCCAATTTGGCTCTTTGGTGACGCATGAAGACCATTATGAAAATTAATTATTTTGAAATGTTTTCCAGAATGGTATCTTCAGATTCCATTAGGTGTTGAGGGCTGCTTGCTGGATGAGCTTTTATAATTGTGGAGTAGATTTTTTTTTCCTTTTCTTTTTCTGGGGGGTTGATTTTTTCTCATATTGGCCTCCTTTCTGGTGGTCAACTTGGAAGTTCTCCACCTTCTTCATTTCCTCACTTGCAAAATTTTGTAAAGAAGAGAGAGAAAATCCTCACTCCTCTCTCTGGCCCAGTCTTTGCATTTGTACCACGTGGACAGTAACATCTCCCCCCCAGGGCTGGAGAGTGGGGACCCACAATGCACAGAGCCCAACCACACCCTCTGTGTAAAGGGAAAGAGCCCTGGTGCATGAACTTTATAACATCTACTTTGGTAGAGACTTTTTTTTGCTTCCTTACTGGTTCTTATCTGTATTGCAGACAGTGGATAGATATTTGTGGGATATTTGAATTCTGGGTATGTGAAGTGTTACTGTAACTGTCTTCAGAGAAAAGTCAAGCTATATGTAGAAGTTTCATCATGCCCAGAGAGAAAGGAGTAATTTCTCTACATTTATGTTTTCCTCAGTTAAGTTTTACTAATCATATGCATTCCTGAAGCTTATATTCTTGGTTTTTCTATAGTAAAGGGAAATGTGTTAATTTCTGTTTGCCATAGAATAGAATAATTGTGTAAAGGAATTATTAATCAGTGCACACAGGTGTGATTTAGTGATTTATAATGTGTGAACTGTTACTTTTTATATTAAAAATCTTATCAAAATATGTATGTAAAAAGCTATTTTTTTAAGGAAATTCTGTAGGCCCCAAATCTGTGTTTCATCTTGAATATTCTGTGTAATTCCACACATAGGTAGAGAAAGTCATAACAATCTGAATAACAATACTGATGGGAAATGTTTCGTTTTAGTGGCCCTTGGCTTCAGAGTCAAGGAAATAGGTCTGAAAAACCTTTCTGACCCTTTTAAGTTCAGGAGAGGAACAGATAGTTCGGCAAGCTAGACAAAGAAGTATTTTTGAGATTGAAGAAGCCAATTGTGCAATGAAATCCTATATTAACCTTATAAACTTTGCCCTTTTGCTAAAAAAAAAAAAAGATTTAAAAGATAAACCTAAACTTAATCCTTAGTGTAGTACGTGTTTCAAAGAGTCATATTTGAGATAATAATGGGCAGCAGAAGGGGGTTATAACTGTTCCTCATGTTCTTTTGCTCAGGTCTTTTTTTCAATCCTGGTTGGAGCCTTCAGTGTTGGACAAGCTGCTCCATGCATTGATGCTTTTGCCAATGCAAGAGGAGCAGCCTGTGTGATCTTCAACATCATTGATAGTGTGAGTCATTTATTATTTCCATGTCAAAAAATTATTTGAGGCTTGCATACTTAACTCTGGCTTTAGGTTAAAAATCATGTGAAAATTAATAATGTGAAAATAAGGGACCTCTTCGTAGTAATGAGTGAAACAAAGTGCCTCTTATTAATATTTCTAAAAGTTCATCTTGAAATAATATAATAACACTGATCTCATTTTGGAAAAGTACATCTGCACCATTGTGTTATTATTAGAGTGCAGAGCAAAGATGTTTGGTCTTCTGAGTTTTTCTCCTTTGCTCTTCCATGTTGTAGCGAGGCTAGGAATATTATGATTTCTATAGACAGAACGAGTAGGTGGAAAAATTATTGGTGGGATCCATATTGACAGTATATTTTGCTGCACGTTGCCCCCTTCGAAGAAAAAAATCACTGCATGGTTCATATGACTTTGAATCAACCATACTGAATGAATGCAGTGAAATAAAGAATATAGTTTTCACATGTTGAAGCATGTCACTGCATTTACACAGATAAAATGCAAAGTAGGTACCTGAAATGTGGTCATGTAATCCAAGCAGATCCTCCTGTTTCATTGACCTAAGTCAGGAGAAAATTGCTCAGCCTCTGAATATATTTACAGTTTCCATTGCTCCTAAATAACTTGGCCCTAACCAATTGTTCAGTCTTCACAACCCAAATCCATTTCATTTGCTGTTTAGGAATACTAATTTTCACTAAATGCTGAAATACCTGGCTATATCAATTCTAATATGTCTTGTTATCACACTTGTAGAAGCATGCATATCTGACCATTTAGAAAATGTATGGGGATATGCCAAAAACTTAAAGGGAGATATTATAAGAAATGAAATTAATATATTCCTATGTACTTTTCAGAAAACATCTGTTTTCTGCAAAGGAATATTTCCTTACACACAAACACACACACACACACACATACACAAATCTACGAGTAGGTTCTGTCTCATGGGAAGAAAGTTGTACCATTCCAAGTCCTCTTTTTGTAATTTGCTAAATCATATTCCTTAAAAGTGCAGTTATTTGTTCTATGATGGAATAGTCATTGAATTTTGTTTTATTTAGAATCCTAAAATTGACAGTTTTTCAGAGAGAGGACACAAACCTGACAGCATCAAAGGGAATTTGGAGTTCAATGATGTTCACTTTTCTTATCCAGCTCGAGCTAATATCAAGGTACTGTAAGTGATATTTATAAGAATTCCTAACTCAGATTGATTGTTTAATCATCATAAAGAACCTAAAGTTGCTACTGTTTTGATATTTATATGCTTTTTCCTTTTGGGTTTTTATTCCCTTATGTGATACTTTTTTCACAATTGAAACTGAATCAAATTAGTCCCCTTTTAGGATTTTGTTGTGAAGTGTGTTCTTCTTCTCTCCTTTCCCTCACAGATCCTGAAGGGCCTCAACCTGAAGGTTGAGAGTGGGCAGACGGTGGCGCTGGTTGGGAACAGCGGCTGTGGGAAGAGCACAACAGTGCAGCTGATGCAGAGGCTCTATGACCCTGATGAGGGTAGGGTAAGTAGGAAGAACCAAGTTCTCAAAGTGGCCAGCTGGGTACCCATTAGCCCTTCGAAATTGTTTTTTCAGTAGCAAATTTGCATGGGAATCCAATTTTGGTAAAAAGGCTATAGAATTGCAATGCATCTAGATAATGTATTCAAACACTTGGACGGGTTTAAAAAATATTCAAGATGATAAAAGCCAAAGAGGCTAGACAACACTCTCTTCTGTTCTAACTAAGCATTTCATAACTCACTAACTCAACTGGAAAACAGTCATCCAAACCACTGAGACTGTTATTTTCAAGAAATTATTGGGCTTGGTCGAAAATATTCCACATAGCAATTTTTGAGAACCTGATAATCAAGGTCACAAGAAATCTCAGGACAGTAATTAAATTCATCAAAGACAGTTGAGTTTTCTTAAATGGGCTCCACGCTTGGCATGCAGTCTACCTAAAAATAAATAAATAAAATTTTTTTTAAAACTTTCTTATAGATTGAAACTTAAAGAAAAGTTGCAAGCAGGAAACACATATAGTCTTCACCCAGATTTACTAATTGTTTATATGTTGACCCATTTACTTTATTGTCTTCCTTCTCTCTCTCCATATATATAATAAACACACATGCACACATGTACACACACACACATACACACACACAAAGGCATATTTTTTTCCTGAACCTTTGAGACTAAGTTAGGGACATCATGTCCCTTGACCCTTACATACTGCAGAATATATTTTCTAAGAAGGACATTCTCTTACCTAACCACAAAATAATGATCAAAATCAGTAAATTTAATTTTAATACAATACCAGCCCATAGTATATATTCAGATTTCCTCAGTTGTACCAACTTCAGGACACTGAGTTTACCTGATACTAAAATATATTACAATTCAACAATTATGAAAACAGAAGATTACAAGTTTCAAAAAAAACCAAACAACACTAAAAGGCTTTGAGATTGAACAGAGATTACAGGAATGAATACAGAGTTCTAGGGTACATGAATTACTTATTTAATTAACTTCATAAAATACACATTTTGGAAAAATCTGATATTATTGGGGGGAACACAATCCTATCCCCATTTATTAAAGCAAACTGTAGTTTGGTTCAAGTGTAAACATTTTTATTTTTAAAAAAGACCCTAGTAAAATACTAACCTTTAAGAATATGCCTTTGAAAATATCTTATTTTTAAAATTATTATTGGAGTAGGAGTGCCTGGCTGACTCAGCCAGTGGAACATGTGACTCTTGATTTTGGGGTCATGCGTTCAAGCCCCATATTGGGCGTAGAGTCCAGTTAAAAAAATTAAAATTATGAAATTATGAAAAATTTAAAAAATGAAAAAATAAAATAAAATAATTATTGGAGTAATACATATTTTTAAAATATACATGTCAACAGGGAAAAAAGTCTTTAGAAATTCTATAACTCAGATATTCACTGTTCACATCATGATTTAGCAATTTTCTTACTAAAATATTAAAAGAAATGTTCAGTGGTACAGTTCATTTATTTAATTTTTCCTTGAACTCCTCTTTAATTAAACATAGTAAAGCTAAAATAAAAGAAAGCAATAAATAGAAATATGATTTATGATATATAGGAAAAACTATTATATTTAATATTTGAGAAATTAATATGAATCCATAATAGGATATGAACATGAAAATCTTTTGAGAATAAATATGCTTCTGTAGGGGGCGCCTGGGTGGCTCAGTCGTTAAGCATCTGCCTTCGGCTCAGGTCAAGATCCCAGGGTCCTGGGATCGAG